AATAACCATATATATATAAGATGTATATATTTATCAGTGTTTGGGAACCCAACAGGTGTTTTTAAGTGAGAGATATCGAGTGTAATGACCAACATGTAAAATGCCTAGCAGCAGGCATTTTACCGCGGTGCGGTCGACCGACGCGGTCGACCGACGCGGTCGACCGACGCGGTCGACCGTATCGGTCGACCGAACAGCGATCAGAGGGTTTTCTCAGGTTCGGGTTCAAACGGGTTTCGGGTCGGGTTTGTGAGTTGGTATATATGCTAATATATTCGAGAGAGCCCCTTTGAGTTCTGAAATCAAAACCCTAGGCCCCCCTCTCTTCCCTAAAACCCTAATCCTCTTTGTTGGTGATTTGGGGAGAAGTTCTTGAGGATTTGCAGCAGCTCTTAGTGGGATCCAGCGAAGGAAAGCGTTCTCCTTCAGTTTTAGCGATCCGTTACTCACCAGAGGCGAGTATCATCTCGCCCAATCCCTCACCCCTATTTTCTATGGTTTTATTTCGATTTTTCATGAGTTTTTGATGAGCCCAAAAGGTATTTTTGTATAAAAATGAGTTCTTTACAACATGGATTGCAAGAATCAATATTTCAGTTTATAAAAGTTCACCAATGTTTTGTCTAATGAAGATCTAGATCTGGGATTTCTTAAACAAGAGTTTAACCATGTTTTACTGTCATTAAAACGTTTTAATTCGCTTCTCATGCATTTTGAAATATTGGAAATTTAGATTTTCAAGCTTGGGATTAGTGTTTATCTTCAGTATTTGTATAAAAATCAGGTTCCTTACCAACATGGATTGCAAGAATCAATATTTCAGTTTATAAAAGTTCACCAATGTTTTGTCTAATGAAGATCTAGATCTGGGATTTCTTAAACAAGAGTTTAACCATGTTTTACTGTTATTAAAACGTTTTAATTCGCTTCTCATGCATTTTGAAATATTGGAAATTTAGATTTCAAGCTTGGGATTTAGTGTTTATCTTCAGCTGGTGCGGTCGACCGCTGGGCTCGTTTTAGGGCTGCGGTCGACCGCAGAGCCTCATCGGTCGACCGCGATGCTCTGTCGATCGATCGCGAGGTCGCAGCTGTCGACCGCCAGGTGCGTATCAGTGTGCGTTCGACCGGTGCGGTCGACCGCCGCACTGTCTGTTGTGATTTCCTGTTCTGGATATTTTTGGGTATGTTACTCATGTTCGAGGGTTTGCCTGGACTATCTGACCTTGGTATTTAGTCTCACTGTGTATCCATGCATGATAGATGACCTGAGGGTATAATTTGGGGACTTATACACTGTTTGAGTGTGGATTGATATAAGTAGACTTCACTATATATATCATAGCGATATTTTCACTATTTCACAGTCTTCGTGTTGGACTATAATCCATAGAAGTCCTCGTGTTGGACTATAATCCATTTCAGTCCTCGTGTTGGACATTTGCCACTTATTCTATGAGTCGGAAACTACCATATATAGTTCCTGTTTCGGACATAGTTCTTAACCCTGCATATGACCTTCTCACAGAAGTTCACGACATGATTTTGACATGACATTCATGTAGGCTATGATATGGCACTGCGCTTGTGTTCTGAGATTTGTTGTATTTCATTTATTATTGTTCCTGCATTAAAACCTCGGGTTTGGTGATTAGGGGTTTACAATTTGAGATATAAGGTATATACATGAGGGTTTCCTTGTTTGGATTATTTCGCTCGACGTACATATTCTCGTGTTGTAAATTTCTAAATACTAAAACCCTCTTTAGCAAGATCAATAATTTTAGATCTATTATGTATTAACTGTATTTTCATATACAACGAGCCCTTTTCCCTTGGGGTTGGTTGTGATGTTACTCGCTAGCGCTTTGACGCTCGTTGTCCCTCCCCCTTTCAGGTAACGAGCCAGGAGCCCGGAGAGTCGCAGGTTGATGGTGATGCATTTTAGCTTCAGCTGTCTAGTTAGTTATATGTTTTTATTTGGGGCTCCACTTTAGATTTTTTTTTTTGTGTAGACCTTTGAGAGTCTTGTTCTAGAAGTTGTAAAGGCCGTGTGCCTTATTTCCTCTTATCAGACATTTGTATTTGAGACTTATTGAGTATCCCAGTTATCTATTCAGACATTAACTTTGTATTGCTGTATGTTGGTGTAGGCATCAAAAAATGTTGAAAGATATCCAAATACAGCTGAAGAGAAGATCATCCAAAAAAATCAACAAAAGGACACAAGTATAGACTGTCTCGCCCGCGAGACAGACTTTGCTGTCTCGCCGTGCGGGACAGACTTTGCTGTCTCGCCGTGCAGGACAGACTTTGCTGTCTCGCCGTGCGAGACAGATTTTGCTGTCTCGCCGTGCGAGACAGACTTTGCTGTCTCGCACGCAAGATAGTTTTTAAACATTCAGAAACCGTTTCATAAACCGCCGACACGTGGCCACCAACTGTTCAAGAACGTGGGGAATGTCGTGGGCGAGAATCACGTTGATAACCACCAGAATAACGGAGTTTAAAACGGGCAAACAAAGCTAAAGTTAAGCAATATGTTGACCTGCCTTTAAGAACAGGAGGCATCTGGCAGTTGCATAAACAGTTGAATCCAAATGAGCTTTTCAATCTCTTCATATCTAAGTGTGTGTTAACACTGTCTCGGCCAGCGAGACAGTAAACACTGTCTCGCCATATTAATTCTGTCTTTTGTTGAGTTTTGTTAGTTATGAACCCCAGAGGCTATAAATACCCCCCGAGGGTTATTTCTGACAGAGGCTAATCATTTTGAGCACTTCAGAGCAGACAGAGCAGAGATAGGGCAGAGTACTCGAGCTTCTG